GGCAGAAGTACCTACCTGGCAAGTGCAAGGTTATGAGTTTGATCCCTGGTACCAAAAAAAAAAAAAAAAAAAAAAAGAATAGCTGCCTGCACTATCAGACATAATAGAATCTAACAAAACAAAACAAAATAAAACCAAACCAATAAATACAGAACTTCAAAACAATGTACTAGGAAGATAATCATGGCTACCACCTTTCCTTTTTAGATGTTTCCTCCCCTTTCACCTTCACAATATATATTGTACATTTTGGACCCCATTAATTCATTCAGTTTTTAATATTAGGGAGACAACATGATGTTCATCTACGTGAGTCCAAATCATTTCACCCAAGAGCATGATCTCAAGTTGCAACCATTTACAGGAGCCTCAAGGTTATCCTTCTTTACAGTCAAGTAGCTTTCCATTGTATAAAAAGACCATATCTTTCCTATCAATTCCACAGTTGATGGGCAAGCTATCCTTGTGCTTTTTTCATATGGAACATTGTCTTGTCTCTGCCAACCTTCAGTCCACGAATTTTCTTTCAAATCAAATGTGTTTCTTGTTCACAGCACATTGATGGATTCTGTGTCTAATCCACTCTGCCCATGTTTGTTTTTATTGGTGAGCCTAGGCCATCTAAATTAACAGTTACAATCGACATGCCCTGGCTCATCTCTACCATGCTATCCTACCATCGGTCCCCCATTTTTCCCCTCTGTTCAATTGCCTGCCCTGCTCAGGGTTCTCCCTCTCCTCCAGGATTGCAGCTAACAAATGCAAATGGAAAGATCTCTTAAAAATAACGAGGAACCAGGAAATAACAATTGAATGGCTGCAAGACAACGCAAAGAAAAATAATTTAAGACAGATAGGTGTCTGCGAAAAAGCAAGGGTCAACAAATGACATAAAAAGACTATTTATAAATAGCAAAGAACTTCCCAAGCATGGGGAAAAGACCTGACATACAGATAAGTGCTACATATAGAACTCCAACTAGCCATAACCAAAATAAATCTACAACCAGACATAATAATCAAGATCACAGAAATTCAGCACAAGAACAGACGATTAAAGTCTGTCAGAGAAAAGAAACACATCACCTTGGAAAACCCATCAGAATCACAACACAATTCTCAACATAAATCATCAAGTCAAGGAAACTTGGAGTGAAATATTTCAAGTCCTGAAAGAAAGTAACTTCCAAACCAGACTGATGTACCTGCAAAACTATCTTTCAAAATTAATGAGAAACAAGATACTTTCATGATAAAGAACTGAAGGAATTCATGACCACCAAACCAACCCTACAAAGAGTACTGAAGGATATTCTAGAGAGAGACAAAGATGACTGTGGTTCTAGCTAACTCTTTAAAAATAAAGATCCCATGAGTAAAAGAAATGATAGTCAACTCTGAGGAATAGAGCACAGCTTCTGTGTTGTGTGATACAGACTAATCAATGTAACTAGAGGAACAGATGAAGTCTGAAACAGAATGGAAGGATAAAGAGCTTTGAAGAATAATCAGAAGAGAGAAGAAAAGGAAACAAGCCTGACACATGGAGAGGAGAGGAGAGGAGGGGAGGGGAGGGGAGGGGAGGGGAGGGGAGGGGAGGGGAGAGGAGGAGGACAAGGTGTACAGGGATGCAAGAGGCGCTGGACAGCCAGGTGGTGAAAGACTTCCAGGTTAGTCCAGGAAAGCTTGGGAGTGGAAGTATGAACCAGAAACTTTCTCCAATTAACCACGTGAAACTTTCTACATAACAACTGACAACCAAGTTCTTGACCTTACAACATGCAGTTGACTTTTTTCCCTGTTTCTCTTTCCCTCGCTTCCTTTTGTTTTCTTCCTTCTTTCCTCCTTTTTTGTAAAGCAAATATATAGAGCAAATACATGGTAATGCTAATTGACCAGAATTATTTTCTTAATCCACAAAACAATCCCATGACATGGGTTCTACTATTGTCTCCATTTTACAGATGGAGAAACTGGGGCACAGGGAGGTCACATGATTGGGTGACAATGATTCAAACTGCCAACATGGCTCTCTTTTTCACACTTGTCCCCTCCAGTCAGCAAAATCACTGTATTCTACATGATAATCCCACACAAGTCCTTCCCCAGTGTTTCTCATATGTGGCATCTTCGCCATGTGCAGAGCGGATTGCCTGATGTGATTCATGCATTTCCTACACATTCATTGAATTCCTAGTTTATATGCCAGCTGCTGGAAATGAGAGTCTGATAGCAGAAAAGATGCACTCAAAGGCTCAGACACACATGTTGCTGGAAATTTGTTAGACAATCTCACGGATCTAGAGGCAGCAACGTGGAAACGACAAACAGAGGAAGAACTATCTGAACTTAATCTTCCTGCCTGGTAAGGTTTCATAGACTGAGAGTTTAATCAAGTCAAGGAGAGGTGAACCTACACATCAAGGTAAGAGGGTGGACCTGGAAGAAACAAATTTTCCCTCACCTCCAAGCAGCCTGGCATTGAGCCCCAGCCCTAGGTGCTGGGAGGAATGTCCAAATGTCCAAATGAGTAAATGCTGTCCACTCAATACTCACATCGCACAAGGGCAAAGGTCTTCATACCATGTCTGAGACACGGTAGGAGCAAAACATAAGTTTGCCGATCATAGTCTTCTTCCAACAGCACTTTAAGCCACATTACCAACAATAAACAAATATATATATAATTATATCTGTATTTGTGTGTGTGTGTGTATATATGTATGTATGTATGTATGTATGTATGTATGTATCGAGATCAAATACTTTTCCAGGATTCAAAGTCCCTATCATCTCTTCTCTTCTTGAGTCTGAGCTTACTCCTTTTTACATTCCAGATCAATCTTTTTTTTTAATACATTACAGGCAAATAAAAAGAAGATATTCACACATTATATATTGCAAATATGATTTACCTTGCCTAGAATACTGATCTCCTTTATTTTCTACCCACCTTTATTTATGAACTGTTTTTCAAGAATCCGATACAGGGAAGATTTTTGTTTCACTTAACTGGTTTTTATTGGGGTGGAAGGGTGTATTTGTCTTTGTTTTTTCCTTTCTCTACAACAATCTCAGGATACTTTTGGATTAAAGTTTGATACATTTGGCACTGAGGAACTTTGCTCAGTATGGCCAGCCGTGCACATACATGAGCTGGGCATAGCAGCTACTCAAGAAATGTTTATTGGATTCATAATGAAACGTTAAGAAAATACTGCAAGGAAAAACCGCACACTGTGAAGCACTGTACGGTTAAGATGCCTGTCATAAAACCTTCCCTGTCTTCCTCCCTGAAACACAGATAATGATTCATCAACCATGTAAATGACCCTGGTTTCCCCTAAGGAACCACCCTGACAGAATAAAACCATCATTTTACACTGGACAGAGTGCTTCTAGAACAGTACCGGCACACATTAAGTTCCCAATAACCTCAGTATCTGTGGAAGCTCATTAAAACAATCATCTTTTTCTCACGCCTGACATAAGGTGGTAAACTTCTCTAACAACAAAGTTTGTAAGCAGAACTGGAAGAGCAACCCAAATCAAACACAGAGTAAGTCACTGTACCCACATTACACATCATCCCATCCCAAAAGTTTCAGAGGTCTTTTCTTTCTTCTTCCTGGAGATCAGTCTGTCAAATAGTTAGGACCTCCATCTCTCTACACCCTTAGGAGCTATTAGTGTAACATGCCCCACACTAGCCACGAATTCTGAAAACGGAGTTTGCAAGTATCCTATGGACACCAGGACGCAATGGCACTGCCAGCACTGAGGGTCACTTCAGGTAGCATGATAACAGCAAGCTGAGTACTAAATGTAACCGTTTCCCTCCACTGTACATGGATCTTTTTGAAAGAAAAAAGTAATTAACCAGTAAGTTAAATATTTATTCCCAAATGATCTGGAATAGCATAAAAGAAAAAAAAAACATTTCAATGAACACATTAATTCTGGGACTCCAATGTATATTAAACAACACTGCTCTGAAACCAGAATCAACCCATAAGCAGCTAAAGAAAACTTTGGAAATCTCTCCGCTCTTTTGCAGCTCCCCATAGACACACACACACACACACACACACACACACACACACACACACAATATTCTCTCTACTCCAAGTAAAAGAGTTGAGACCATTGTGGGCCTCGCCTCTGCCTCCAATCCATGCACCTCCCGATGCATTGGGATCGGCGGGGTGACATATGAGATCTAAAGTGGGTGGATAAAAATAACCTGGTCTTCAAAAAGACATGATAAACGCCAGACAGCTGAGTCACTTTGAAGCCCATGTTCAGCCCTGAGAGGGGCATTCACCTTTCTTTGGCTTCCCACACATTCACCCAGCCAGTGAAAACCACCACTGGTGGGAGAGGGTGATGTGTGGCAGCTTCCTCCTCCAGGCTCTGAGGTTACCACTCGGAATTGAACTTTTAATAATTTATACTGGCGCACATCAGCCCAACTGACTCATTCAGAAAGGAAAAGGGGAGAAAGGCTGGAGAAAATCATAATCCAGTAGACCCGTATTCCTGCAGCCCGGTGGCGCCCCCTCCCCAAAGCTGCTTCTCACATTCTGGTGGCAGGAAAGGCTGGGGGGCAATGCCAAGTGGAGGGAGACGAGCTCAGGGGCATCAGCACTGTCTAGGAGGGGGAATCCCTGGGCACAGCACACGGCCACCGTGCGAGATCGGCCGTGGCTGCTGGGGGGCGAGATGGACCCCACCACCTACCCTCCGCCCTGTCTCACCCAGGAGGACGCCAGCGCTCCGCACCGCGCGGCTCCGGCGGGAACGAACTCTTCCACCCATCCCTCCCCCGCGCGGCGGAGCCTGCGGAGCTCCGGGCCGGCCTCCCCCGGCGCCCCGCGTCGGGCTGCAGCGGCCCCGGGAGGGGGACCCGGCCGCCGCGCACCGCCCCGCCGCAGCCTCCCGCGCCGGGTCCGGGCCGCCCGGGCCCCGGCACCGCCACCCGCCGGGGGCGCCGCGCTCACCGGGGAGTCGTAGGAGAAGGCGCACTCGCTCTTGTAGACCCGGTCCCCGGACCTGGGCACGCGGATCGTGGGCATGTGGGGCACCAGCAGCTCGCCGATGTCGCCTGCAGCCATCTTCCTGCCGCCGCCGCCGCCCAGCACGCCGAACAGGGCGCCCCGGCGCTGCATGGCCGAGAGCGCAGCGCGCCGAGCACCGAGCGCCGAGCACCGGGCCAGCGGGCCGCGCGCGGGGCGGCCGGGGACGGGCGGGCTCGGCGGGCACTCGCGCCCGGGGCGGGGGACGCTGCTATTTTTAATCCAATGGCGAGTCGCCGGCCCAGCTGCAGCGTCAGGCGGGGCGCTGGGCAGCCGCCGCAGCGCGCCGGGGAGGGGGCGCCGGAGGGCGCCGGCGAGCCCCGGAGCCCCGAGCGCGGGAGGCCCGAGCGCGCCCACGCTGGCGGCGGCTGGGCACCAGCCGGTGCTTTCCACCGAGAATCCTAGCTGGCCAGGGGGCCACTCCGAGAAGGCCAACACAAAGACTGGGAGTTGTTTTTTAAAAAAAACCCGAAGCCCCTCGACCTCCCTGGACTGGGTCTGTGCGTTCATCTACAGGGCCCAAAACCGTGTTTGCACCACGCACTCCAGTGCTACCTCACTTTTTTGAAGCATCAAACAAACATTCAGTAAGAGACTAAAATAAAACCCATCAAAGATAGTTTTTGTTTTTGTTGTTTTTGCAATAATACAAGATCTTCCTACACTTAGGATGTTTTTTAGCCCTCCAAGGCAAAGATGTTTTTCTCTACCTTTAGAATGTCTTCTGTGTGATTCAAGGTTCCCTGGTTTGAGGATCTAATGTGCAGATAGACAGACAGAGAGACATATGCCTGTCCTGCTCATCCTGTTCCCCAAAACAGATAACTGAAATGGGATTGTGTTGGGGAGTTGATGATTTGAGATTTGAAGCACACCACACCAAAGGTACTCGGTGCAGGCCATTCAGTAGTCTCTGCCAGTGAATGATACACAAACCAACAGGGGACCTAATGCAGGTTTCTGTTAAGCCTCTCCTAGATCAGATAGTACATAAAGTCTTTTTATTGTTGTTTTGTTTTGTTTTGCCAAGTTCCCTATTAACTCTCCCTGTTTCTCCGTGGTTCTCCAGATCTGTCTAAATTTCCATCTTCTCAAGCCAGACTTGAGCAGACCACACATTATTCTAACTCACAGTTCCAAATGCCAGCTGATGAAAGTGGGAGAGGCCATGGCAGACAGCAAAAACTTCAGCGCTATTGTTACCTCAGGAGCTGAGGATTTAGCTCAGTGGAATAAGCACCTGTCTTGCAAGCAGGGGGTTGTGAGTTTGATCCTCGGTTCCGATAAAAAAGACAAAAAAAAAAAAAAATACATAGTTATCTTCCTTATTGGCCGAATTTGCTAAACCAGTGTTGGACTGGGATTTACTCTCAACTTGCCATCTTCTGTACAGCATCTGTTTAGGATCATGGATGACATGTGCTCCAAATACAGGGGAAAACGATTCAAAATGTTCAAAACTTCAAATTTAATCAGATCAAATATATATCAAATCAGTGAGACACTTTTTCATCTTTTGTGCTGACAAAGATACATTGAACTAGCCTTGTTTGAGAAATAGACCCTTGTGTACATTGTTGGGGGAAATTTTAACTTTGGAAGCAATTTTAATAATACTGATCATAATTTAATATGTGTACACTGTTTTCCTAGTAATTCCTTGTCTAGACATTTGTGCTGCAGATAAATTTGGACCACATAAGAATATTTGTGGGTGCACTATTTATAGTGATAATAAGCTGAGAACAATGTAGACATCTACCTGTAAGGAGTAATTAAAATATAGTATTCTTGGAAAGAGTAAATAGCTCTACATGTGCTGATGTGGAACAATTTCAAATCATATTCAAATTGTTCCACATTTTGAGATGAAAATGATACATGCAAATCAGTGTGTAAAGCTGAGGAACGTGTGGAAGACTGATGATATGTAGGAAGCACTCTGGCGCATCCTGTGTACACCTTCCTTCTGGCTGGTTATGGCCGTGGTAAATATTTTTAAAGTTGCCCCTTCAGATAGACTTGTACTAGAGCATAAACATGCATGGTTGGCCTTTAGATGTTTCCAGAAAAATACAAAAAGAAGTACTGACTGTTGGGCTCTGTGGAGAGGAACAGAAAGCCTGAGTTCAGAGAAGGATTTACTACTGCTCTTTACCTTTTTATATTATTCAAATTTTACCACATGCAAGAATTGGGTTAAAAACTAATAAGAACTTGGTTGTAGAAACACTCCAAGTTCAACAATCAGTAACAGTAAATGGAGGTTGAAGACAATTGTTACATCACTGTAGCAAAGCATGCTAACTTTTTTTGTAGGTTCAAATCATGATAAATGGTCCTTGTATAGTCAACTGAAGTAATCAGTCAAGGATACTTCTTGCAGCCAAAGGCTGCTGGTCTGGCAGCTCAAGTCATCACAGGCTCCACCGTGCCTTTCCAGAGAGTTGAGCAGGTGTCACACTTTATTGGTGTGAGGACTTCAGTCCTCTCTGTATACCAGAAAGCCCATGGCACGCCAGATGAAAAGGTCTAAACTGAGGAAAATTGATACCATATAAAACATAGGAGAATCACTGAGCCGGGTACTCCTCAAAGATGCTTATGTAAATCTTAAAATGATTAGGATAAAATAATCCTTTTTTTTTTTTGTATTGGGACTCAAACTCAGGACCTCGCACTTGCCAGGTAGGTACTGTGCTACTGAGCTATATCCCTGGCCCTCAATATTTTTAGAGCGGAAGCTTGTTGCAGTGTATTGCTTAACATATGATGGTTATACAATATTATTTCTACTGGGTAAAAATAAACATGCATTTGACATGGCCAAAAGGATATAATAACTTTAAATGGTTATGATTTGGTTGTAAGAGATTTTGTTTCTACTTTCAAAATGTCTCCAATGATGTTACTTTTTTATATAGTATAAAACTTAGCAAGACAAAAATGTTAGTAAAAGGAAATTCACTAAAGAAAAATGTATCAATCAAAACATTTTAGGGCTGGGCATTGTGGCAACACCAGTAGTCCCAGCTACTCAGAGGGCTGAAGCAGGATTGCTTGAGCTCAGGAGTTTTAAACCAGTCTGAGCATCATAACACAACCTTGTCTCAAAAAATAAAAATTCAGGGGAGGAGGGAAGAGAGGGAAAAAGGGAGGCATTTGAAGAAAAAGTTCTATCTCAATTACTTGGACCTTTAAACATAATTGTGCAAGTTCTGAGTGAATTTCTAACTGGACTATGTTTCTACTCACCAGTTTTTGCACATGGATCTCAATCAGTAAGCAAGAAGGGAAAAGTCATGATGGGTCAACAATTTTAACTTCCAATATAAATTCAAAGTCTTAACATAAAGATTTTTAGAAGACATAAGACCGAGAATCAATTTGCACCTGTCCAAGTATTGAGGCTACTCCATCACTCTGCTGGTCAAGGATGGAGCTGGCTCCAATGGTGTGACACTCTAGAGCCTCTCCTGTACTTCAAGCTTTACATCTCACTCTAGCATTCTGAAAACATCGCCTCACTGTCCCCTAAATGGAAATGAACTTCTTATACGACATGGAATGAGCTTTTCGCTCACGGTGGCAGCAATAAGCCTGAACCCACTACTGGAAGCACCCTCATGGCTGCACAAGAGAGCTTTATTGGGGAGGTGGGGGTCAGCCAAATTGTAGCCTTGGCTGAAAGGTGCAGTTGATCCAGCAACCAACCTGCTGCTGAGAGAAACAAGTTTTTATTGATTTGCTGAGGTGAGCTAAGATTCAGTAAATTTCCACTAGCCAGGAGCATGGTTCCAGAAGATATTTCTTCTTGCGATGGACTTGGACCAATTGTGTATCTGGCATCATCATCCTGTACAAAACACCGAGCCTTGCACTTGGTGTTTTATTAACCGTCTGTCCACTTTGATCAAGAGGTCTTCAGTTACTCTGCTAGCTAGCATCATCATCTTGTGTAAACCTCCTGGACTTATGATGACTGAAGGACTCTTAGTGTTTGAGTAAAAGAACACATATCGTTTCCAACAGGCAATAGGCCAAGTCGACCCTGTATCATAGTATTGGATGAAGCATGGTTTAAATAATCAATGTGTCTGCTTATGGAGCTGAGTAGAATCTGACTCAAGTGTTAAGACCACAAAAGGGGACAGACACAATATGAAGACAGACATCCTAAACCTTTTATCCCATTCTAGTAGCCCATCAGACACATGCAGGCCCAAGTGAATTCAATGTTCTCAGCAAAAATGGCCTCTAGGTCACTGGGAGGTAACCTATGTTATCACGACCCACACATCAGAGGTGCTGCCTACAGAAAAGCTAGTGAGAAACTAACAATGTGTGACATCCAAAATCAGTGATTTTAAAATGATTAAGAGCAAAGATAGCTAGTGGGTCTTTTATTCTTGATAACTGTTTCTCATTTCATGCCAGTATTCTGTATCTGTGGTTGTACCAGGGTCTCATGATGGGTCTGTCAAAATATAATGTTACAAAGGATATAAGTTTATTGTACCCAGAAGTTTATCATGCCAGCCTTCTGTCCCACCGTGGTGATCCCTAATTACTCTCAGCCTTTGTTGAAAGTTCTCTACTATTTCTATCATCTTAATCTTCTTAAGATTTAGTATTTGGGGGTGAAGCTGTAACTCAGTGGTAGAATGCTTCTCTAGAATGCATGAGGCCCTTGATTCTGTTCCCAGTATCCCTGAAAAGGGGGGCAAAAAGATGATAGCTTTTTCCATGAAGACCTTTCTGACTGCCTTCACAAATACATCTTTAAAAATTACAATCCCTATTGTCTATTCACATCATTGGAAACTCCTTTATGGTAGCTCTTGTACTGTAATGAAATTAGCCTTGGTTCTTTGTTTTATAGCTCTGTAGAGGAAGCAACCCCTATGAAAGAATCTTCATATCTTAGCATCCTCGCACATTGTGAAAGCTCAGTGTTGCCCTTCTAGAATGGTTTTATTTTAGGTACTCAACCAATAGCAAATGAGTGACTCACATCCATGACATTGTAATGAATATGTTTTTCAGTCTGCTTTGGGTCATTTCAATAAAACTCACTGCTGCACAAATGTTATTCCAAGAACTGACAGCACTTATATTAAAATGTGATGTGCATATGAATTGTGATGACCAATGTC